CCTTCCACCTTGGTCTCCCAAAGTATTGGAATTACAGGCATGAGCCAACTGTCACTAGCTGAGTCAGGCTGTTTTTAATATTCAATGGTCGTTGAATACTTTTGGCACTTAGGAAGGACACCGCAGGCGGACCAGGAACCCAGGGGAATCAGTCACACCGAACCCTCGCACGGCAAACCTAGCCGCAATTGTTCAAAACCACTGCCTAGACCATCTGGACTCAGACCTCCTAAGGGAGCAGGGCTAAGCAACGCGGTTTTTCACTGCAAGGAGCGGCAAGGCCCTCTCTTTGGCCCTTCTTTTCCTTCATAAATAAAGAGGCCTGAACAGGACCTCCCCACTCACCCTGAGAGCACGTGATTCGTGAAGATTCCAGGATTTTCTTACATCAGTATGCTTAAAGTTACGTGGTTTCATATTTCCAGGGTTGTCAACCCTGTCAGATTGAAAGATAAGATTATTGCCAAGTGTGGCCCGGCTTGTAGTCCCAGCTACTCCGGAGGCTGAGGCAGAAGATCCCTTGAGGCATGAGTTTGAGACAGCAACGAACTGTGATTGCATCACAGCACTTAGCCAGGGTGATAGAGCAGAGTCAGTCTCTAAACACCCTCCCCAACACACACACACACAACAAATCATAGGATTATTTGTTCTTTTCTACTTCCCTCTCGTCCTTGTTTCCAGAAGGGACTGGGTCAGTACTGAGGGGAGGAGAGGAAGCTCAGATGGTGCAGACTGAAGGGAAGCTGGCTCTGAGTCAGGCCCAGGTCTGGGGCCTGCTGTGTTGTGTGCTGTGGGGAGCAGGGCCTTAGTTACCTGAGAGCGCATGGGCTCCTGAGCACCGAGGTTAGGACATGGGTACAGAAGATCTGACTCTGTCTGGTCTGGCCCACAGAGGGACTATGGGCTCAGAGGAGGATGCTGGCCCAGTATGGGAGCTGCTGCAGGGTGGCAGGGCCGTTTGCTCATAGAAGACAGAATCCTCACCCCAACCAATCAGTGGGGACTAGAATAATCAGTTTGTACCGAAGGAGACACGTGGTGACCGAATGTTCTCTGCTTTGTGCCTTTTTCACAAGTCACTGCTGGGCTGGGTGGCCAAACATCACCAACACATGTTCCTGGCTGTGCCCTCCTTGGCTCAGGGCAGCCCTGACTCCATCTTTGTTGAGTCAAGTGTGCCAAGCTGACAGAGTTCCAGTGTGACACTGCTGTAACCCTCACCACCCACCAGGCAGGAATGAGCACAGCTCTCATTCTCTGAGGAAGAACTCCAAAACTCATAAGGAGGGCTGCCCTATCCCTGCAGGGCATGGGGAGACTTCGTGGTATTAGCATGGGAAGGGAGCTGGAGGTGCCTCGGGAAGAGCCAGGGTCCACCGCGTCTCAGACACAGGAGTCTTCACTTGTTCAAAGTGACAAATGGTGAAACAGAAATGACCTAAGGGATCCCTAGACACCGGTTGCATCTTTCTCCAAGAACGCAGTTTCCCATTGCAGGCTGTTTGCATTGATAAGAGGCCAGGGAAGGACCAGGATTGAGGTTAGGTGTTCTGATAGCTGGACCTTGTCTGGAGTCACCCTAAAACTGGTGGCAGGGGAGTTCTCACAACGGACTGCCCCAAACCTTCCCAGGATTGAGCTAGCTAATGCCAGCGTGATTAGTCCAAGATTTTGTTAGGGAAACTTACATATGGAGGGGGCTGCAGTGTGGCCTCATGAGGCACAGCCAGGAAGAGGTTCTGCCTAGGCACAGCTGCGTGTGGAGTTAGGAGTTTGGGCCCGGGTGGGGCCAGTTTCACATGCTTAGCAACATGTCAGATCTTCAGTGTTTCAAACAACAACCTAAACGTGTTTATCAGTGTCTGGGAAGAACCAACCCCAGCCAGGGTTTGAGCCTGCAACGGGAACATTAGCTGATGAGGTCAGCGTGGTCGAAGCACTCGGTCAGAAAACAGGAAAAGCTGGGGGGATGAAATGGGTGACCCAACACTGGAGTCGGGCAGGGGACACATGCCCTGGTTAGAGGCACAGGGCAGACTCTGCCGGCCGGAGCAGGGGAGAACCCTGGCCAAGGCACTCCACATGGGAGGCTGTGACCCCACGGCAAGCCTAATACCCAGGCACGTTTGTCCCTAGAAGGTCCTCTCAGTCAGTCTTGCTGATGCCATCAACACCGTGAGCCCAGGGAAGTCCATCCCATTAAAATAAAGCTCTGGCCCAAGTGTGGTTGCAGATCTTTCTGGGCTATCTTCACGAAAAAGCGTAAAGTAAGCAAATTACAAATCAAAGAAGAACTGAACCAGTGGTCTTCATCCGAGTGAGACTGGTGGTCAGAAGGAAAGTCTCAAAGCACTCAGACTGTGGCAGTAACCCAGTCATGGAATCTGGCAGCTAAACCCGAGAGCAAGAGGCTTGACCACTATTGCAGAACACTTGGGTAGGAAGAAAAAATGTAAGAGCTTACAAAATGAAAATCAGCAACCTGATTCTAGGACTTGGTGACTGGAATACTTTCTGCCTGTCACTGCCTAGGGCAGCTCAGATGTATGGTCCATTGTGAACACACCTGGAGGATGAGGCAGCCGGTCCCTGCTGCTGCTCCGGCACCATCAGGGCAGACCAGGTTTGCTGCCCAGGCCAGGTGTGGACTGGATGCACTTACCTTCCCTAGAGGACCTGTGGCATGTCCTTTCAAAACGTTCCCTTGGCAGTTTGCTCCTTGCATGGATTCTCTTCTGGGACACATCCAAAAGGATGCCCTGTACACTGCCAAGGGCTTATGGGACACGGCCTGCCTTTATCAGTTCTGAGCCTCAGGACTTGGGGCTGATGCAGGGCTCTAGCTGAAGTAGCTTTGACAGAAATGTATAAACGCAAACGTTGTTTAAGGAGCACACAGGTACAGCAGGTGCTGCAGTTACCGGGCTCACCCATTTCTAATTATTGTGCTTTGTGTCTCCTCAGGGAGAAACAAAGGCAGCACTGCCCTCACAGGAGCACTGGCCCTGGCAGAACACAGCAGCCGCGAAGGATCCAGCCAGAGGATGCCGCGCCAGCCCAGCGCTACCAGGCTGCCAAGGGGGTGGGCCTGGGAAGAGCCCTACGCGTGGCAACACCTAGGATGGGGCAGAGACTTACCACAAGACTTTGCCCCCAGCAAAGGCTACATGTTATCTACTTCAGTTGATAATAAACCTTTCTGAGATTCAGAGGGCCAGGTCAGACATTCTTACTGTTTTTGGCAGTATTAAGGCACAGACTTAGAATAAGGTTTCTGTGCCTGTCCTGGTTGTGCCACAGGTGAACTAACCTGGTCCCTTCACCATGAACTTCCTGGACCTGAATGGATTTGGAGAAAAGGTGTCTGGATTACCAGATCTTCTACAAATAGATGTCAACAAACCACTTGAAATGAAACGTGGGAGGTTTTCTACCAAGAGGATTGAGTGCTGAGGGCAGGGAGGCTGTGTGTGCACATGGAGGGCGAGCGCTGCCTTCCAGGTTATCGTGGAGCACTAGGGTCACCATGGGTGTATTGTGGACCTCTGCAAATGCTTTGCAGAACTCAGTTGACACTCCCCCCTTCTAAAATGTCCTGACCTTACACATTTGATCCACAGCTTTAGGGATTTTATGGACAAGCCCATCCACAGACCTCAAACACTTCTGTCTCTTTTTAGCCAGCATGACCTGTAAAGCCCAAAAAACTGCAGTCAGTTGAAAACCTGCTCTCCTAGAATTTAGGAAAACTACACATTGAAAACTTGGCTTTGAAGAAAACACTGGTTTCCCTGGGTTAAGTTACTCTGTGGCAGCTCCTTAAGTATGTACAGTCCTGTTGCACCCAGCCCACACCAGGGCAGGCTGGCACCCCACCACTCCCATGCAGGCTCTAGGGTCCCACCCGCTCCTGTAGGCAGCAGTAAGCAGCACAACACACAGAGGTCTTGGTTTTATAGAACCTTTATTTGCAAACAATTCGAAAGCAGCCATCCTGGGGGTGGCAGGGGAGAACCCACCACACCCTCCCCTCAGTATTCTTCGACTTCTTCAGCCTCAGCCTCCACAGAATCCACGCCCACCTCTTCATAATCCTTCTCCAGAGCTGCCAGGTCCTCGCGGCCTCGGAGAACTCCCCCTCCTCCATGCCTTCCCCCGTACCAGTGCACGAAGGCCCGCTTGGCATACATGAGATCAAACTTATGGTCAGGCGGCCCAGGCCTCCGCGATGGCCGTGGTGTTGCTCAGCATGCACACAGCCCGCTGTACCTTGGCCAGGTCTCCCCCGGGACCACCGTGGGGGCTGGTAGTTAATGCCAACCTGCCAGAGAAGGGGAAGAAAGCAGTCCGTGAGCTTATATTAAACCTAGAAATGGTAGCTATTTTTCCTCAAACAGAAGACACCCTGTAGGTGACCAGGAGAATGCTCAGCTCGCCTCACCATGTCACTAAGCCCTTCTCTGCCAGGCAGGGTGATAGTTCCAGACAAATAGAGAGAAAGGAACCTTGGAGGTAGCTACCTTGGCAGGATCCCAGTCTACCTAAAGGCTGTGTCCTAGCAACTGTGACATGTGATAGGTGCCACGGTGAAGAAGTCTTCCCTCTGAAAATGTATGCGCTTGTCTTTCTTTGTAGATTACAATGACCTTCTGTAGCTAACTTTTTCCCCCCAGAGAGATTCCGATGTACAAACTCTTCCCCAAGGTACCATGGGGAATATCATACCACCAAACAATGCCACGGTTGCTATGCAAAGGCAGCAGATCATAGGTCAACCGTCATATGAATGCTGCTACCACAGTAGCAGAAACGGTCCATGTCCTGCTTAAGTAGGGGTGACATTCCAAGGTGGGGGTCCAAAGGGAAGCATTCCAAGTTTCAGAACTTGGGAATAAGATGACCTGAAGTCCTGGCAGCAGTTGCACAGGGTCAAACTAGAGCAGGGTCAACAAACTTGTTCTGTCAATGACCAGATCAGGCCAGGTGTGGTGGCTCAAGCCTGTAACCCCAGCACTTTAGGAGACCGAGATGAGATCACTTGATGGCCAGGAGTTTGAGACCAGCCTGGCCAACATGGCAAAACCTCATCTCTACCAAAAATACAAATATTGGCTGGGCGTGATGGCTCTTACCTGTAATCTAGCACTCTGGAGGCTGAGGCAGGTGGATCATCTGAGGCCAGGAGTTCAAGACCAGCCTGGCCAACATGGCAAACCCTGTCTCTACTGAAAATACAAAATTAGCCAGGCATGGTGGCAGGCACCTGTAATCCCAGCTACTCAAGAGGCCGAGGCAGGAGAATCGCTGGTACCCAAGAGGCGGAGGTTGTAGTAAGAAGAGCTCATGCCACTGCACTCCGACCTAGGTAACAGCGTGCAGGAATCTGTCTCAAAAAAAAAGAGGAAGATCATATTACAAATTCTAGGCCTTACAGGCCGCATGACTTCTGTCACACCTATCCCACTCTGCTATTGGATAGCAAAATCAGTCGCAAATGAAGGAGTGTGTGGCTGCGTTCAGATAAAACCTACTTAACAAATTAAGCAGCTAGGCTAACCCCTGAAAGAGAGGAAGAGAGGCCCAGAGTAGGAAATCCCAGTCACAGCCAAGTACAGTGGTCTCCCCAGAGGCAGTGGGGTCTAAGCTAGAGGCGGCAGGGAAAGCATAGCACAAGGACGCACATGCCAACAGAAATGTGACCAGATTTTGTGACAACTATTGGAAAACCTGAAAGGGGACAGCAAAATTTCTTTTGTGTCACTGGAAGGTGGGGGACAGATTTTGTATCTGAGGCAAACCCAGGCCAAAATTACTATGCTTTTCAGGAAAGAAAGATGTTGCTGGGTGTTTTTTTTTCAGACAGGGTCTTGCTCTGTCACACAGACATTGGGGGATCTCAGTTCACGGCAACCTCTGCCCCTCAGCCTCCTGAGTAGCGAGGACCACTGGAGCACACCACCACACCTGGCTTATTTTTTGTATTTTTGGTAGAGACAGTGTCTCATCCCATTGCTAAGGCTGGTCTCAAACTCCCGAGTTCAAGCAATCTGCCTTGGGCCTCCCAAAGAGCAGGAATTACATGTGTGAACTACTGTGGCCTGTTGCTGTTTTCATCACAAAGATTCATTCTTTCTTTAAATCAATAATTCCATTCATTCTTTCTAATCAAACACTCCATAAGACAGTGGAGTGAAGGACTAGTGAAGCAGTTTATAGTAATGCTCAAGTTAAAATAAATACATACACCATCCACGTGATTCCCCAAAATGCCCATAAAATTCCTACTAAGCTCAACCTACCTTTTCCACATGAATTCTACCACCCAAGAAAGGGGCACAAAAATCCTTCGGAAAATATCTTATAAAAAAAAAATAAGCTGTCTCATGCCTGTAATCCTAGCACCTTGGGAGGCTGAGGTGGGTGGATGGCTGGAGCCCAGGAGTTTGAGGCCAGCTGGGCAACAAATGTGAGCCCTGTCTCCACAAAAAATAAAAAATTAGCTGGGTGTGGTGGTTGTACACATGTGGTCCCAAGGTACTCGGAGACTGAGGTGGCAATGATCACCTGAGCCCGGGAGGATGAGGGTATGGCAAGCTGTGATCATGACACTGCACTCCAGTCTGAGTGAGAGTGAGATTCTGTCTCAAAGCGATAATAAACATGGCCAAGTGTGGTGGCTTGTGTCTATCATCCCAGCACTTTGGAAGGCCAGGGTGGGCGGATCACTTGAAGCCATGAGTTTGAGACCAGCCTGGCCAACATGGCAAAACCCCATCCCTACTAAAAATACAAAGTTAGCCAGGCATGGTGTGCATGTCTGTGGTCCCAGCTACTTGAGAAGCTGAGGTGAGAGAATTGCTTGAGACTGGGAGGCAGAGGTTGCAGTGAGCCAAGATCACACTACAGTTATCCAACCTGGGGGACAAAGTGAGACCCTGTCTCAAAAAATAAATAAATAAAGCTCGCCACAGGATGTATACTGTGATGACTCAGAGAGTTCAAAAACCATCAATGGGCCAGGTGCTGTGACTCATGCCTGCAATCCCAGCACTCTGGGAGGCTGAGGTGGGTCGATCACCTAATGTCAGGAGTTCCAAGACCAGCCTGGCCAACAGGCAAAACCCCGTCTCTACCAAAAATACAAAAATTATCCAGGCATGGTGGCGCATGCCTGTAATCCCAGCTACTTGACACAGTGAGGCAGAAAAATTGCTTGAACCCAGGAGGTGGAGGTTGCAGTGAGCCAATATCACACCACTGCACTCCAGCCCAGGCAACAGAGCGAGATTCTGTCTCAAAAAAAAGACATCACTGAATCAATGATTACTCTGGTTTACTAATTTATGCCCGTGTGCCTAGCCCATGAAGTGGGTATGGTCTCCCCAAAGGATGCGGACCTGAAAGGGCAGCGTTATTCTGTGCATCTGCTGCTTGCTGAAAGGACTCTACATTACCCAGTCATACCTTAAATCCAGTCGGGCACCAATCCACAAACTGGATTGGTGCGCTTGGTCTTGATGGTGGCGATGGCTGCATTGACATCTTTTGGGACCACGTCCCCCCTGTACAACATGCAGCAGGCCATGTATTTGCCATGGCGAGGGTCACACTTGACCATCTGATTGGCTGGCTCGAAGCAAGCATTGGTGATCTCGGCCACAGACAGCTGCTCGTGGTAGGCCTTCTCGGCTGAGATGACCGGGGCATAGGTGGCCAGGGGGAAATGGATGCGAGGGTAAGGCACTAGGTTGGTCTGGAATTCTGTCAAGTCCACATTCAGGGCCCCATCGAACCGCAGGGAGGCCGTGATAGAGGACACAATCTGCCCAATCAGACGATTGAGGCTGGTGTATGTGGGACGCTCGATGTCCAGGTTGCGCCGACATATGTCATAGATGGCTTCATTGTCGACCATGAAGGCACAGTCAGAATGTTCCAGGGTCGTGTGGGTGGTCAGGATGGAGTTGTAGGGCTCCACCACGGCTGTGGAGATGTGGGGGGCTGGGTAAATGGCAAACTCTAGCTTGGACTTCTTGCCGTAATCCACTGAGAGCCGCTCCATGAGCAGAGATGCGAACCCAGATCCAGTGCCGCCCCCAAAGCTGTGGAAGATGAGGAAGCCCTGCAGTCCTGTGCACAGATCCGCCTGAAGGAAACCACACAACGTGAGTCAATGCCCGTGGAAGACATGCCCCAACCTCCACCAAGCCAGGGCCTCTTCTCTTTGCCTCTGAAGAGCTGATATGGATTCAAATAATCCATAATGAACACGCATAACACTCGGAAGTAAAGAAAAGCAGATAAAGGTCTACAAACAAATCACCATTACAGACTCGGTAGGACTCAAGATGCTGGTCTAAGTTTTTGATTGTTTGAGACAGTCTCACTTTGTCACCCAGGCTGGAGTGCAGTGGTGCAATCTTGGCTCACTACAACCTCCACGTCCTGGGTTCAAGCAATTCTCCTGCCTCACCCTTTCAAGTAGCTGGAAGTACAGGTGTGCACCACCACCCCTGGCTAATTTTTGTAGTTTTAGGGTAGACAGGGTTACACTATATTAGCCAGGCTGGTCTTGTACTCCTGATCTCAGGTGATCCACCTGCCTCAGCCTCCCCAAGTGCTGGGATTGCATGAGAGAGCCACTGCACCCACAGTGATGCAAGTCTAAGTTTTGATCAATGACCAACACTTCACATTCTAAGGCCTACCCTCCCATGCAGACAACGCCCACCTGAAGCCTTCTCTTCTTACCAGTTTGCGATCCGGTCCAGGACCAGTCGACAATCTCCTTGCCGATGGTGTAAGGCCTCTGGGCGTAATTATTGGCTGCATCTTCCTTCCCGGTCATCAGCTGCTCCGGGTGGAAGAGCTGCCTGTAGGTCCCTGTGCGCACTTCATCTACAAAAGAAACTGTGACTCTTTAAGGCCTGTACTCACCAAGATGGACACATTCCAGGACTGTTCACTTCTACAAAGTACATGCTGTTCAAAGTACGTGACCTACATGTCGTAGGTCAACAGTGGCAGTGGCTGGTAGAAAATGTCTGTGTGATAACCAGATTGCAAGTGCAATTTATGACTCTAGAAGTTAAACTCAGCCTGCAGTATAAAGAATAGCACGACCAGTTCCAGTGAAAGGAACTAAGCTTTCCCACCCTACACAGGTAATTCTACAGGTACCCTAATTCTGTCCTACATGTAGCTACATCAAAGGCTGTTAAGTTAAAACTCTTACAACTGGGCAGTCACCAGGTCAGTGTGACTTCTGCAGGCAGTTCCGGTCAGGGTACCCTGTTGGCCAGGGTGTCACAGGCTTTCAGGTGACACTGTCATCTCCTGTGGTGGTGGTGGGGGGGCACTGAAAGTGCTCTGTAGTGCTCCTTGGCAACTACCTCAGGCTTCTAATATGAAGGAAGTAAATGACTGTTCTGTACTTACCTTCTATGCCTAAGATGCAGTCAAGACTCTCATGCACCAGCATAAGAGAGTGCATAGCATTCGGGAGGAAACTAGTGCCGCCACACCCTGCAGGCAGGGCCGCCTAAGCAGGGCTGAGGCAGCCACGAGGGAACCTCTCCACAGCCTACCTTACTGCTGGCAAAGCAGCTTTTCCCTGTATGTCAGGTGTTCCTAAATTAGGAGCCTAGTCTCACAGATACTTTCATCACAAATCTTTCAGTTTATCCCCTAACACCGCCATAGGCGTATGCTTGTCTATTCCATCCTTTCTGCAGGGGGATTCAAAGGAGATCACATGGGGCTTTACCAGTGCTCTCCCACTCTCCCAGGAAAGCTGCCATCCAGTGCCAGGGCACCTACCGACCACAGTGGGCTCCAGGTCCACAAACACTGCTCTGGGCACGTGCTTGCCAGCCCCAGTCTCACTGAAGAACGTGTTGAAGGAGTCGTCCCCGCCACCGATGGTTTTATCACTTGGCATCTGACCATCGGGCTGAATTCCATGTTCAAGGCAGTACAGTTCCCAGCAGGCATTGCCGATCTGGACACCTGCCTGCCCCACGTGGATAGAGATACACTCGCGCTGTGAACCGGAACATAAATGTGAGCGCATTCATTTCGAGGCAACTTGAAACTATATGGCATGCAAAATATTCTAATTTAATAATTGTATAGTGTTTCAGTGTCTGGCACTTTCACAATGGCTATTTCCTAGAAGGGTTAGGCGACTGACCCCGTTATCCCTGTGAAAACTAACTTGCTCTAAACCATCCTAGCTACTAAGTTCTAGAGGTAGCCCTAGAACCTGTTTGCCACTACAGAAAAATTAAGTTATTTTAAAACTTAGAAGCCATGTAATAGCAATAATCAACTCCACATTATAGCCAGTCTCAGTAATTCTCTGAAGAATATATAGTGGTTTTCTTATTACGTCCTGACCAAAGGATAAGGTAGTTGGGTTGGGTAAGGAAATACAAAGTCGGTCCCAGGCCACCATGGTTCAAGCCCCATTGCTCAGTGTGTGTCCTCTCTCTGCCCGCCAGATCTACCCTCCATCATTCACCACCAGCTCTGTGCTCCTGAAGAGGCTGACCCATGAGGACAGCATCAGAGGCCATCTTCACCCCGAGTTCTTGCTGGTTTGGTCAATGGCAGGCAGCAGCATGAGACTGGGAGAAGAGTGGCATCAGGGTACTTCCTCCTTGGCCCCTTCCTGCCCAGCTGCTGTGAATCCCTCCATCAAGGCCACACCTGTGGCAGGTGGGCCTCATCATAAAGCTACCTTCTCCATTTCTTGTAACCACACCTTTTCTCCACCCCTTGAAGCCTAGGAGTGTAATGGCTCCCAGATGTCATCAGTACTGGGACACTGCACTCTCCTTTGGTGGTTACTTTAAGCCCTGCCAAGCCAGGTGTGGTGGCTCATTCCTGCAATCCCAGCACTTTGGAAGGCTGAGGCGAGAGGATTTGTTGGGACCAGTTTGAGACCAGCCTGGGTAACGTGGTGAGACCCTTGTCCCTATGAAAAATTTAAAGATTATCCAGGTATGGTGGCACACACCTGTAGTACCAGCTACTTGGGAGGCTGAGGCAGGAGGACTGCTGGAACCCAGGGGTTCAAGGCTACAGGGAACCGTCATCCTGCAACTGTGCTCCAGCCTGGGCAACAGACCATTGTGCTGAGCCGTCTCAAAAAAAAAAAAAAAAAAAAGGATAACTGACAAAGCATGGCTATTCAGACTTGGGAATCTGTTCTTTATGTTAATGGGTTGATTTTTAAATTGATTTGGAGGCAGAATCTCTCTCTGTGGCCCAGGCTGGAGTGCAGTTGTGCCATCACGACTCACTGCAGCCTCAAAGTCCCTGGCTCAACTGATCCTCCCACCGCAGCCTCCCGAGTAGCTGAAACCACAGGCCCGCGTCACCACGCCCAGGTAATTTTTGTATTTTTTTTGTAGAGACCATGTTTCTCCATGCTGTCCAAGCTGGTCTTGAACTCCTGACATCAGGTGATCTGCCTGCTTCCACCTGCCCAAGGGCTAGGAATCCAGGTGTGAGCCACCATGCCCAGCCTTAACGTGTTGCCTTTAGGTGAATGTGACAATGTTTCAGCAATGTCTGACCTTTAATTCCTAATCTGTCCAATGTTCACAGCCCCAACCCCCAGCAGTAAAACTCAGTCGTTTCCGGTAGCAAAGACTTCTGGACTGGAAAGCGCAGGCAGCGCCCTCCGGTTTTCAGGAGGTGACGCCACCATCTGCTCTCTGGAGGACAGGACACCACCAATGGTCCCTGTCCACCTACTCAAGGCTGGCCACTTTGTCTAAAACGAAAGCCTCTGTCCCTACTCTGGGACCCGAACCCCGGGGGGATGATCCTGTGTCCTCGCGTCCCGCCCTAGACCCCGCATCCTTCTCCGGCCTCCTCTCCGTCCCCAGGACCGCAGCATTGTCCCTCTGTCTAGTCGGGGCCAACTTTGTCTGCCTGGGCATCTGTGGGTACGGAGTGGCCCGGGCCTTACCATGGTGAACTCCGCTGCAGCCCAATGCTACTACCCGAACTCTAGCCGACCTCAACCGCTGCCGCCGCTAGCGAAACTGCAACCTCCTGCTCTCGTGCGCTGCCCGGGATTGGCTTGCTGGTGCTAGGCCACCATTGGCTCGGAGTTCCTAAGAGGCGGACCGAGGGCCGGATCCCAGTTGTGATTGGCCATTATGCAACACGTGTAGTGGGGACGCTCTCTGATTGGATGCAGGATTGGCGGGAAGGCAGCGGTGTCATCAAAGGCTGCGTGGGTGCAGTGTCTTCTGACGGAGGTGGGGGTGGGGAGAGTGGTTGTATCAGCTACTCCATTGCCTTTGTGGGTCACGGTATGTAGCCTTGCACATAAGCTCCTAGCCTGGCACTGCCCCTCCATGATTGCCCCAGGCCTGCTCCTCCCTCCCCCGCGCCTATTCAGATCTTTGCAAACAAGGACGCCTCTGAGAGGCCTCCCAGCCAACCACCCAAGTCACAGCAGCAATGCAGTCATCCCCGGTTCCTCCCCAGCACCCAGGAAGTGGCAGGATTCGATCAATTTTGTGACTTAAAAGGAAAAATTGCGCCGGACGCAATGGCTTACACCTGCAATCTCAGCACTTTGGGAGGCCGAGGCGGGCAGATCACCTGAGGTTAGGAGTTCAAGACCAGCTTGGCCAACATAATGAAACCCTGTTTCTACTAAAAATACAAAAAAAATTAGTCGGGCATGGTGGTAGGCACCTGTAATCCCAGCTACACGGGAGGCTGAGGTAGGAAAATCGCTTGAACCCAGGAGGCAGAGGTTGCCGTGAGCCGAGATCGGACCACTGCACACTCCATCTTGGGCAACAGACCCAGACTCCATCTCAAAAAAGAAAGAAGAAAAGGAAAAAGTGAGGCAAAATTAATGTAAGTGGAGAGGTTGGGCCAGGCACAGCAGCTCAAACCTGTAATTTTAGTGCTTTGGGAGGCCCCAGCAGGAGGAGAGGTCTGGACTTGGAGACCAGCCTGGGTAATGTGGTGAGACCCACCTTGCCCGTCTCTACAAAAAATAAAATGAAATAAAAAATAGCAAGGCATGGTGGTGCATGCCTGTAATCCCAGCTACTTAGGAGGTTGAGACAGAAGAATCGCTTGAACCCAGGAGGCGGAGGTTAAGTGAGCTAAGATCGAGCCACTGCATTCCAGCCTGGGCTACAGAGCCAAACTCTGTCTTGGAAAAACAAAAAGTATAGTTTATTTGGGCCAAGTTTGAGACATGCAATCCTGGAGATGCAAGTTGTCTTAATATACACTCTGATTAGCAGCAGTTATAAGTGGGCTTTTAAAGGAAAAGAAGGGGTGGTTCCTAAGTTGTTTACTAAGAATTTTGAAAACAGAGGGGGAGTCTTGCTATGTGGCCCAGTTGGTCTTGAACTCCCATCTCAGCTGGCCTGGCCTGAGGAATTTATATTAAAACCACATAAGCTATTTATTGGGCCAAGTGTGGTGGCTCACACCTGTAATCCCAACACTCTAGGAGGCCAAGGGGTGCAGATCACAAGGTCAGGAGTTTGAGACCACCCTGGCCAAGATGGTGAAACCCTGTCCCTACTAAAAGCACAAAAATTAGCCAGGCATGGTGGTTGGTGCCTGTAGTCCCAGCTACTCGGGAGGCTAAGGTAGGAGAATCGCTTAAGCTTGGGAGGCAGAGGTAGCAGTGAGCCGAGATCACACCATTGCACTCCAGCCAGGGCAACAGAGTGAGACTCTGTCTCAAAAAAAAAAAAGAAAAGAAAAAGCTATTTATTGGCTCTGCATTGTCTTTTGTACCACAGATTCCAGGAATAGGAAGATGACGGGTTAAGGTAGTCAGGAGCAAAATGCCTTTAAACAGTCACCCGGGACATGGGTATGAGGTATATGACGAAGTCCCATATTCCTGACCTCTGGGCCTGATAGATTCTGCACATCTCTCATAACTCAAGGTGCTGTGAACACTTTTACTTTTCTCATTTCTTTAGTGAGAGGGAGTGGGTTTATGGCCACCAGGAAAGGGGAAGGCACACCCCTGTGCCAGAAAGAGCAGAGTGGGGACCCAATACCCATTTTGGAAGAGTTGAGAATAGGCACCTGACTTTTTCTTTTTATTTATTTATTTTTTTGACACTGGTTCTCACCATGTTGACCAGGCTAGACTCAAACTTCTGAGTTCAAATGATCCCCCTGCCTCAGCCTTCCTTGTAGGCCGGGACTACAGGCGTGTGAGTCTGCCCAGTTTGATTCTTCCTTTCCTAAAGATCATGTTAGTGTGTATTCAGTTCTGGGAAAAGCACGGGAGGAAACATGCCGGCTTACCCCCAGCTCAACACCAGAATGCAGCACCCCATCTGGAGATGCCACCTGAATGGTGTCTCCCTAGAGAGTGGTTAAGTAGGTCCTTAACTTTCCCTCCTGAGAGGAGAACAGAAAAGAGAGAGGGAGGTCCCCCAGTGGGATGGCACTTATAAGGTCAGGAGTTGAGACTTTTCTGTGGGCTTTGGGGGCTTCTGAACAGTGTGATCAGGTCTGCCCTTAGGAGGATGCTTTGGCAAAAGGAGAAGGGGCGGAGAGGGAGTTCTGCAGACAGCCAGGAAATCAGAGGAGGCCACTGGCTCCCTGCCTCTGTCCCCAGGAGGGTGAATCCTTCTGTATTAGTCAGCTTTGGGCATGATACAAAAAAATACCTTCTACTGAGTGGCTTAAACAACAAGGTGTTATTTTCTCACAGTTCTGGAGGCTAAAATCCCAGAGGCCTCTCTTACTGGCTTGCAGTCACCTTCTCACCATGTCCTCCAACGGGGTAAGAAGAGGTAGCATACAATATCTCTGGTCTCTCTCTCTCTCTCTCTTTTTTTTTTTTTTTTTTTTTGAGACAGAGTCTTGCTTTGTTGCCAGGTGCCAAGCTGGAGTGCAGTGGCGCAATCTTGGCTCACTGCAACCTCTGCCTCCTGGGTTCAAGAAATTCTCCCACTTCAGCCTTCCAAGTAGCTGGGACTACAGGTGCACACCACCACGCCTGACTAATTTTTGTATTTTTAGTAGAGACGCAGTTTCACCACGTTAGCCAGGATGGTCTTGATCTCTTGACTTCGTGATCCGCCCGCCTCAGCCTCCCAAAGTGCTGGGATTTCAGGTGTGAGCCAACACGCCCGGCCAATCTCTGGTCTCTTATAAGAACACTAATCCTATTGGATCAAGGTCCACCCTTATGACCTCACTTAATCTTCATCATCTCTTTCTAGGCCTTGTCCCCAGATACAGGCACATTGAGGATTAGAGCTTCAGTATCTAATATTGGCAGCGGGGGACACCATTCAGTCCATAGCCCTCCCCTTCCTCAGGGCTCCAACCACATCATGCACAGAACTCAGCTGTAGCCTGCATCACACGGTGCTCCTCATTACAGTCATGCATCCCTCAGCGCCTGGGATATGGTCTCAAAAATGCATCATCAGGCGATTTCATTGATGTGAGACCATCATAGAGTGTATTTAGACCAACTAAGGGAGTGTAGCCTACTGAGCACCTAGACCACATGGTACAGCATATTGTCCCTCGGCTACGGACCTGTACGGCAAGGATTTGTTTATCTAAACACAGAAAGGCTACAGGAAAAATACAGTACTATAGCCTTATGGGACCACTGTTGTATATATGCTGTCTGTTGTTGACTGAAACATCATCATAGGCCACATGACTGCAATACTTACTTTTCTGATTATAAAAGCAAACCATATTCCTGGTAGAGAGTGTGGAAAATTAGCAACAAAATATTTATTCTACTCTAAATGACAAAAGAAAAATAAAAATCGAGCCTTGGACATGCCCATTTTTACTGTAAGTTATGATTCCATAACTGACTTGTGGTAAGCAGTGTTTCTGGCCCCTAAGTATTGTTACCTTGTGTATTTTATTTAGTATACAGCACTAAAAAAAGAGTGTTGTGAATTATTAAATCCTCTCAGTAAGTCAGCTAGCAAAGTTTACGTATAGTCACTACACAGAAAGGAACACAAATTATTTCCTCTTTTGCTCAGATTCAGACAGGCTTGAGTGACAACTTGAGGACAAGGTGGAGCTTTGCCAAGATTTCTCGCAGCAGCTGCGGGGAGCCAAAGAAGAACCCCCTCATGGTGCAGCAGGAGGAAGACCTGCGCAAGGAAGTAGGCGCCTGGGTTCTGTGTGAGAAAGGCTTACGAGACTTCACAGAGTTTTGTAAGGCTGAGTTCATACACATGTTTAAAGACCTCCTTGGGACTCCTGCTCATGGACTGTCCCTGCTGCATGCAGGACACCAGGGCCAAGCCTGGTTCTAGGGCCTCTGCTGTGCCCAGTTGCTGCACAAACCGGATCAGCTGCTGAGCTTGGCTCCCAGTCATGGGTGCCTTTCAGCGCCCTGCCTGCAGCAGGCGTCCACTGCACTGTCATTATCTGCCTCTCCAGTTTAACCCCACGGAGTAAGCAGAAACTCCCCCACCCCCTCCCATTCTGAGTGAGGAATGATGTCCAGAGGGCACTGTGTTATCAGCAGTGACACAGCTGATGGTCAGTGCACCTGACTCCAGTGACCTCCCCTTTCTCTCTCCACCATGCCCCTGCCCTTAGGCATCTTAGTGATGACAGGGAACTACAAAAGAGGCCATTTGTTAAAATGTGGCTGATTCCCCTATAACTCCTTTATAGATTTGGTTTTTAGGAAGATATGTGAACTTTATGTTCAAATGCCAGTATAGTAATAACACAATTAGGTTCTGGGTGGTTTTTTTTTGTTTTGTTTTTGTGTGTGTGTGTGTTTTTTTTTGTGGGACAGAATCTCACTCTGTCACCAGGCTGGAGTGCAGTGGTGTGATCTCGGCTCACTGCATATGCTCAGTTTTCTAAAATACATTCATTCATACACTTAACTCCTTGGATCTGTAGTTTGTGATCTGTCCTCTAAAATATGCCAGATTTTAAACCCAAATTGTTTCTTAAGATCATCTGTGGTGTCATCCACCTGCATCACTTGTCTGGCAGTGCAGCATGGGTTGTGTGGCATATCCTTGCTTGACGCAGTTACAGTAACTCTTAGCCAGGCCCAGAGAGGCCTGGGGAGGCCTTTCCTCCCCATGTGGGAGCTGCCCTGCCAGCTTGCTCCAGGTCTCATCACTTCCCATCTTAGACCAGCACGTGTGATAGTGACCAAACAGCCAGATCGTTGACCAGATCAGCAGCAGGGAGGTCAGGGTCATGCGTGCAGCAAGTGGTAAGGTTGGGTTGTCAGTACA